ACAGTGCCACCAAAGCAAAGGACCCCAGAAGCCCTAGCCAAGGCAGTGGAATATATGAACAGTCTTGAAGCCCCAGCCTTCAGGGGAGGGTTCATTCTCGAGAAAGTCATGGGCCCAATTTCCACGGGCCATTTGGAGCTTCGAACCCGAAACCCGAACGACAACCCATCAGTGACATTCAACTATTTCAAAGATCCCCAAGACTTGGAGAGATGTATCCAGGGCATTGAGACCATAGAGAAAATAATTGAATCAAAGCCCTTCTCCAAATTCAGATATGACTATCTGTCTTTAGCAGCTCTGCTCAACATTACAGCAAACAGCCCAATTAACTTGTTGCCCAAGCATGCCAATGCCTCAAGGTCTTTGGATCAGTTTTGCAAGGACACTGTGATGACCATATGGCACTACCATGGAGGCTGCCAAGTTGGGAGGGTTGTTGATTATCAGTACAAGGTTCTCGGCGTTGATGCTCTTCGTGTTATCGATGGTTCGACGTTTATTTACTCCCCCGGAACCAATCCTCAAGCCACCGTAATGATGCTTGGAAGGTAAATTATTATTATTATTATTTTTCATTTCATAATCAGATTAAAACTACTTTTGAAGGAAGCACTACTTCTGCTTATAAGTGCTTTTTCGAGTATCGCTTCTATTAGAAGAACATTGAAATTTTTATTAAAAACCTAGAAGCACTTCTAAGTTTGTTTTTGCAAAACGTCATCAGAAGTGCTTTTTGTTGCAAAAAACGCTTTTAACCATTTAAAAACAGTCCTAAACATGACCACTCAAGACTCAATCTAATTATGTTATGGAGTTATTATGTTGAGGCCTAATGGATGGTATTTATATATTAATTTTTTTATGGTGCAGGTACATGGGGAAAAGAATACTGGATGAGAGACTTGCTAGCGATGGAAATTGATCAATTGGGTCTTATTACAGCATTGTTTGACTGCATCTGCATGCAGATATCGATGGGGTCTTATTATATATGTATGATTGGCATACCAAAGGGACTTCCCATTTGTCCCCAACATAGTTCGCCATATCGATGAGAAAATTATGTATAATGTATATTTCGGTTTTATTTCTTTAAACATACAATGGAAAATTGGGCCCAAAAAAAAAAAAAAAAAAA